GGGGGGGGTGGAAGGGGAGGGGAGGAGGGAGAGGTAACGCGTTGGTCGGGAGGGGGTGAAGGGGTGGAGGAGTTTAGGTTATTGTATTGTCGAGCCGACCACAAGTGTTGACCTCTCCCAGGGGGTCATCACGTAAGGTCAACAACAACAACAACAAAACATGTACGATTCTTAATGCAACTTATGCGAGGCGCCTTGAAGGTGTGAGAGTTATGCGAACGGCTCTCTGTTATGCGAACGATTTACTTATAAGAACGATTCACGGGGCGGGGCGGGGTGGGGCGGCGGGGCGGGGAGAAGGGAGGGTTACCTACGCAGCCCATCCATTCGTCTATCCGCCTCACCTACGTCACCTTCAGAAGGCATTAAAATAAAAATATAAAAAAGTCTCATTATGCGCTGGGAGACGTCGGGCTCCCCACACTGACGAGGCTGTAAGTACTTGTGCCAACCCCCTTCTTCTGGGTGTTATTTTTTTCTACTTCAAACACAGTAGCGTCTCAGTGCAACTACGACGCCATGACAGTTGATGTGTGTGTGTGTGTGTGTGTGTGTGTGTGTGTGTGTATTTATGTGAGGAAGGAAAGAGAAGAGATATGGAAGATGGGGAGAAAGAAGAAAGGGAAGGATTGAAGAAATAAGAAGAGAAAGGACAAAAGAAAGAACAAGAAAAAAAAAAAAGAGAGAGAGAGAAGGGAGTGGCACCAATCGCCCCCGCGCTCCAGTTTCCAGGTCCGGTGATCGCCTTGAGCAACACCACTGGCAGTCCCACGGCGCCACCCGCCCCTCACTAACCAGGGGTCAACCCGCACTCCACACTTACCCTCACCACGGCCTCCTATTGGTCAGCGGATGACACAATTAAATGCCGTTGTTTGGGGGGGTAGAGTAGAGACTGTGTGTGTGTGTGTGTGTGTGTGTGTGTGTGTGTGTGTGTGTGTGTGTGTGTGTGTGTAATAATAATAATAAATAATAATTAACGGTTTATGAAAGAGCTTGGCAGCCAGAAGGCTGAAAATATACAGTTACATATTTGGGGAATGGGTTACGAATTACAAATAATATACAAGTAACATAAGTGATACAAATAAGATATACAATAATTAGATGGGGAAAAGCTCAAACTACAGGGCATTTCAACATAGTGACAGTGCAAGAAGTAGTATTTACTGGGAGTGAATACACTGGTTTATTAAAAGTTATAGATAATTTTTACAATGGTTGGGATTGGGCTGTTCTTATAGCGATCAGTTCGTGCACGTATGGGCTGGATGCGGTTGTGGTGTCGAACAGCAATTCTCGGGCTAGGGATCTCAGGTGGTAGTAGGAGCCGGTGTCGAGGATGGTGCAGAAGCTTCTTACCAAATTTGCAGATGAGGTCATGGTAATGGTCAGTGAGACTCGAAAGGGTCAGTGTGTTGAGCGTTTCTTGATATGTGGAGTAGGAAGGGGAGAGAATAATCTTGCATGCCCTCTTTTGCACTTTTTCTAGGTGTTTACGTTGTGTGGCATTTAGGGAGGAAGACCAGGTAGGGGAGGCATAGGTGAGCTTGGGAAGTATGAATGTTGAGTAAACACTGAGGAGCTCGGGTGCAGGAACTCCGAGGGACATGAGTCGGCGGAGGAAGTGGAGACGGAAACTGGAGGATTTGACAACTTCACTGACGTGTGGTTTCCAATTCAGTTTGTTGTCTATGGTGACGCCGAGGAGCTTAGTGGAACAACTTGGAGTGTGTTGGGACCTAAAGTAATGGAAGGGGGTCGGACAATGTCGGAGGAGAGGTTGATGTGCATAACCATGGTCTTGGTATGGTTGATGGTGACGTGGTTGTTGGTGGCCCAGTTTTGGAGACTGTTCAATAAATCCTGAAGGGCGGTATAGTCGGGAGCAGAATTGTTGACGCTGATCCCAATGTGTGTGTGTGTGTGTGTGTGCGTTAACGTCCAAGATAGGTAAAATACAGGTACAGTTAAGTAAAGTACCACAATACAGGTACAGGTAAGAACAGTGTCACAGTCAGTCCCCTTGACCTAGATACAGTCAAATTACAGGTAGATAAGATGTACAGTATATTAACATTACGAGAGATACAGTAATGTTACAGATATATACAGTGGACGGTGTATTATTATTGGTAAAGTCTCCTGAAATACAGTACAGGAGTTGATATTGTTTAGATGAGGTCAAGTATTATGAACTGTAACTGGGTATTACAGTCACTTCCTGTTATGATGGATTCATTTTATGTCTATCTGTCTGTCTGTCTGTCTGTCTGTCTGTCTGTCTGTCTGTCTGTCTGTCTGCCTGCCTGTCTGTCTGTCTGTCTGTCTACACACGCAATCAGAAAGGTGTGAGAGTGGTTACGAGAGAGAGAGAGAGAGAGAGACGGACGGACGGACACACACACAAGGAGAGAGCCCACAGGTGGAGGCGAGAGACTACCAGGTAGCCCCAGGAGGAGGAGGAGGAGGAGGGAACGGGTGGTGTGGGGTGCCCGCTGGCCAACACCTTCCACGGGAAACTCCTGAGTGAAAGTGGCAGGAGGAAGAATAGGAGGAGAAGGAGAAGGAAGAAGAATAGGAGGAGGAGGAGGAGGAGGAGGAATAAAAAGAGGTGGAAGTAAGGAAGAGGTGGAAATGAAGAAAGAAAAAGAGGAGGAGACGGAGAGGAGGAGAGGTTGGCCAGGTCGACCACCCCAAGTTAATATCTCTCTCTCTCTCTCTCTCCCTCTCTCTCTCTCTCTCTCCTCTTGCCACCTCCTTCATCTCACCTCCCACCCTCCAACACCTCCTTCCTCCTCCTAGCATTTCTACAACATCTTAACAGCGCAAACACACACACACACACACACACACACACACACACACACACACACACACACACACACACACACACACACACACACACACACACACACACACACACACACACACACACACACACACACACACACACACACACACACACACACACACACACACACACACACACACACACACACACACACACACACACACACACACACACACACACACACTATTATATACTGGGGATGAATTAAGTCAACCATGTAAAAGAACAAAATTAAAGAAAGATTTAGTCACTCCGATGGGCAGAGAGAGAGAGGTGATTATCATTTCACTTCCGGCAATTAATACTGACATTTAACAATTTCAAAAACATAAAAAGAAAAAAAATACATAAAAATACTTTTACATTTAACGCTCCAATAGTGAGGGTATTGTAATCGTGTGTGTTGTGTGTGGTGTGTGTGTGTGTGGTGTGTGTGTGTGTGTGTGTGTGTGTGTGTGTGTGTGTGTGTCTGTGTGTGTGTGTGTGTGTGTGTGTGTGTGTGTGTGTGTGTGTGTGTGTGTGTCTGTGTGTGTGTGTGTGTGTGTCTGTGTCTGTGTGTGTGTGTGTGTGTGTGTGTGTGTGTGTGTGTGTGTGTGTGTGTGTGTGTGTGTGTGTGTGTGTGTGTGTGTGTGTGTGTGTGTGACAAGAGGAAACAGCAGTGGTAATTCAGTATTGAGTTTCGCACGAGTCTACCTGAACTAACTTTCACCTGGTACATTCCCCTCCTCCACCTCCCTCATCTCCTTCACATCTACCTTCTTCCTCCCATAACTCCACTTCAACCTTCCTTTCCTCCTCCTCCATTCCTTCCTTCCCTCCCCATTCTCCTTCCTTTCCCATCTACCCCCAGCGTTCCTTCCTCCTCACATATTACCACCCTCTTTCTTTCCCTCCCATCTGTTGCTCCTTCCCCTCCCTCCACCTCCTCCCTTCCACTAACCTAACTTAACCTAACCTAACCTAACCTAACTTAACCTAACTTAACTTAACTTAACTTAACCTAACCTAACCTCACCAAATCACCAAAATTTAAAAAAAAATCACTAAAAGAAAATCACCTTCAATCACAGCCCAAAGGTAATTAAGTCTCCTTAAACACGAAAACATATTAATAATAATCGTTTAATCAAACCCAATCATTCCGGTTTGCGTTCCGGGTGATTTTCCATCGACGAGGCCAATAAGATGAACCGGATTTAACGATCAGAATGACAGCCAATCAGAGAAAAAGGTTAATGTTTCGTTAACTTTCATAACCCGGAAAGATGGAGTTAAATTACAGGTGTTATAGCCCCGAATTAAACCCGGAACTAGACTTAAAGGCATTTAATGTGACCTATTTAACTCTGTCCTAACCTAACCTAACCCTAACACAATCAACTACACTACCCCCTAACATAACCACACCCAAACCTAACCTACCCTAACCTAACCTAGCCTAGCCTAACCTAACCAACCTCTAACCCAAGTCAACCTAACCTAACCAAACCACATCCGCGCGGTTGGACAATAACTCCTCAGGGCAGTCCTATTTGTGTACGGTTCCGTGCTCGTATCCGGGTTCGGTTCCGGCAACATTGCCTAATGGTGACCGTCTTGGAAGTGATATTATTTATTTTAATTAGAGAGAGAGAGAACAACGGTTCCAGCCAATAACATTAAGGACACAACAGTAACAACAGGACCCCCTCATAACGGAACCCCATCGTCCCCCCGTTAGAGTCCAATTAACAGGTAAAAGAACGGTGGGAAAAATTTCGGGTCACCTGTTGTAATGGTAAAGGTTAATGAAGTGTGTGTGCCCCTTACCTGTGTGCGGGGGGGGAGGAGGTGATGATGGGAATAGTGTATTTATTTTTGCTATTGGTACTACTACTACCACCACTAATACTACTACTACTAATCCTCCCTGAGTGGCCAAAAGTAAGCTCTCTGAGTGGCCAACAGTAAGCTCCTGGGTGGCCAACAGTGAGTTTTCTGAGTGACTAACAGTAAGCTCTGAGAGGCCAACAGTAAGCCTCTGAGAGGCCAACAGTAAGCCTCTGAGAGGCCAACAGTAAGCTCTCTGAGTCCAACAGTAAGTCTCTCTGAGTGGCCAACAGTAAGCTCTCTGAGTGGCCAACATTAAGCTCCTGAGTGGCCAACATTAAGCCTCTGAGTGGCCAACAGTAAGCTCTCTGAGTGGCCAACAGTAAGCTCTCTGAGTGGCCAACAGTAAGCTCTCTGAGTCAACAGTAAGCTCTGAGTGGCCAACAGTAAGTCTCTGAGTGGCCAACAGAAGCTCTCTCTGAGTGGCCAACAGTAAGTCTCTGAGTGGCCACAGTAGTCTGAGGCCAACAGTGCTCTCTGAGGGCCAACAGTAAGCTCTCTGAGTGGCCAACAGTAAGCTCTCTGAGTGGCCAACAGAAGCTCTCTGGGCCAACAGTGTGAGTGCCAACAGTAAGCTCCTGAGTGGCCAACAGTAAGCTCTCTGAGTCAACAGTAAGTCTCTGTGCCAACAGCTCTGAGTGGCCAACAGTAAGCTCTTGAGTGGCCAACAGTAAGCTCTCTGAGTGGCCAACAGGCTCTCTGAGTGGCCAACAGTAAGCTCTCTGAGTGGCCAACAATACCACAACACAAATACACATATTTCCACTAAGCTACAAAGGTCATGGGAAGTGGGAAGGGTTAGGAAGGGAGGGGAGAGGTTGGAACGGAGGAAGGAGAAAGGAGGGAGGGGGGGAGGAGGAGGGGTTGGGGAAAGGGCGAGGGGGAAGAGGGAGGGGTTGGGAAGGGCGGGAGGAGGAGGAGGGGAGGTAGGGAAGGGTGGAAAGAGTTAGGAAAGGAGGAGGGGGAGGAGGAGGTTTGTAGGAAGGGGAAGAGGGAGGGGTGGAAACACAAGACCTGCCCCGCCCCTCTTCCTCCCTCTGGCGAATTCAGTCAATTATACATTATAAGACAAGGCGGAAACACTTGATAACCCCTCACCTCCCCCTCCCTCCCTGCCTACCTGCCCCTAACATAACACAACCTCCCTCCATCTCATCATCCCTCCCTCCCTCCATCCATCCGCCTGACCTCCTTCAATCCTTCCTCCCTCCTCTGCCCTATCCATTTTTCCCTCCCTACCTTCATCTCACCATCAATTCTCCACCTTCCCTCCTTCTCCTCCATCTTCCCTCCCTCCATCTACCTGACTCCCTCCATCTACCTGACCTCCTCCATCTACCTAACCTCCTCCATCTTCCCTTCCTCCATCTACCTGACCTCCATCTACCTGACCTCCTCCATCTACCTGACCTCCTCCATCTTCCTCCCTCCATCTACCTGACCTCCTCCATCTTCCCTCCCTCCATCTACCTGACCTCCTCCATCTTCCCTCCCTCCATCACGAGCACAAGAATAAACAACAACACGGGTCGTATAGAAACAGAAACAGGATGGAGTAATTTATTTACTTAGAAAAACAGAAGAATGCGAGAGGCTGAGGGGAGGTCACACACACACACACACACACACACGTCACCTTTAAGTCATGTATCGTGAATTATTGCTTGAAAATAAATAGACGCTATAATCTCTCTCTCTCTCTCTCTCTCTCTCTCTCTCATTTAATTGACCTCTGACCTCTGTGTATTAGTACCAAGATCACCCAAACTACCCTATGACCTAGTTAATGATCCAATACACATACTAACGAGCGCCAATTGTCAATATAGTTGATTGTTTGTGAGTTGTGATTGGTCAAAGATAGACACTGATTTTATTTAATTGTAAATAAAATCATGGACAGATAGATAGATAGATAGATAGATAGATAGATAGATAGATAGATAGATAGATAGATAGACAGAAACACAAACAACCCACTACAACCATCGACTTGCAGGAATGCACATGCAGTCATTCAGGCAGACAGACAAGAAAGCAAGCAGACAGGCAGGTAAGGGAGACAGGTAAGCAGGTAATTAAGGGGCAACACCTGAGGCAGATCGTACACGTAAGAGAGAGAGACCAGCTCACCTTGAACCTCTAACACCTTTAGTCGAGTTGTCTACCCAACACTGGTGGTGGTAGTGGTGTAAGGTGGTGGTAGTGGTGTAAGGTGGTGGTAGTGGTGTAAGGTGGTGGTAGTGGTGTAAGGTGGTGGTAGTGGTGTAAGGTGGTGATAGTGGTGTAAGGTGGTGGTAGTGGTGTAAGGTGGTGGTAGTGGTGTAAGGTGGTGGTAGTGGTGTAGGTGGTGGTGGTGGTGGTGAGTGGTGTAAGGTGGTGTGGTGGTGTAAGGTGGTGGTAGTGGTGTAAGGTGGTGGTAGTGGTGTGGTGGGGTGGTGGTGGTGTAAGGTGGTGGTAGTGGTGTAGGTGGTGGTAGTGGTGTGTGGGTGGTGGTAGTGGTGTAAGGTGGTGGTAGTGGTGTAGGTGGTGGTAGTGGTGTAAGGTGGTGGTGAGTGGTGTAAGGGTGGTGGTGAGTGGTGGGGTGGTGGTAGTGGTGTAAGGTGGTGGTAGTGGTGTGGGTGGTGATGGTGGTGTGGGTGGTGGTGAGTGGTGTAGGTGGTGGGGTGGTGTGGGTGATGGTGGTGTAGGTGGTGGTGGTGGTGTGGGTGGTGGTAGTGGTGTGGGTGGTGGTGGTGGTGTGGTGGTGTGGGGTGGTGTGGTGGTGTGGTGGTGGTAGTGGTGTGGGTGGTGGTGGTGGTGTGGGTGGTGGTAGTGGTGTAAGGTGGTGGTGGTGTGGGTGGTGGTGTGGGTGGTGGTGGTGTGGGTGGTGTAGTGGTGTGAGGTGGTGGTGGTGGTTGTGGGTGGTGGTAGTGGTGTGGGTGGTGGTGGTGTGGTGGGTGGTGAGGTGTAAGGTGGTGGTGAGTGGTGTGGGTGGTGGTAGTGGTGTAAGGTGGTGATGGTGGTGTAAGGGTGGTGGTGTGGGTGGGTGGAAGTGGTGTGGGTGGTGGTGGTGGTGGTGGTGGTGTGGGGTGGTTGGTGTGGTGTAGGATGGGTGGTGGTAGTGGTGTGGGTTGGTGATGGTGGTGGAAGGTGGTGGTGGTGGTGTGGTGGTGGTGGTGTGGGTGGTTGGTGTGGTGTGGGTGGTGGTAGTGGTGTGGGTGGTGGTGGTGGTGTAAGATGGTGGTGGTGGTGTACAAGGTGGTGGTGGTGGTGTGAGTTGGTGGTGGTGGTGTGGGTGGTGGTGGTGGTTGTGGGTGGTGGTGGTGGTTGTGGGTGGTGGTGGTGGTTGTGGGTGGTGTGATGTGGGTGGTGGGGTGGTGTAGGTGGTGATGGTGGTTGTGACTATCAATGTAGTTCATCAACCAAATTCATTAGTATCATAGTAATGTGGTAGAAGGTGGTGGATTGTGGTAGATATTGGTACATAGTAATACCATGTACCAACATGTACCAACATCTACCACAATCCACCACCATCTACCACAATCCATCACCATCTACCACAATCCACCAACATCTACCACAATCCACCAGTCTCCACAACCATCTACTACACTCCACCACCACCGTCTACCACAATCCATCTGTCTCTACCACAATCTACCATCTTCTACCTCAATCCACCGCTATCTTCTATCACAATCCACCACCATCTATCACAATCCACCACCATCTTTTACTACAATCCACTACCATCAACCACAATCCACCTCTCTCCACCATCTTTTACCTCAATCCACCACCATCTTCTACAATCCACCAGCATCTACCACAATCCACCACCATCTTCTACCACAATCCACCAGCACGAGTAGTGAGGCCGGCAGCCACTACGTTAGAGTGTGTTATAACGGTAAAAGCTTCACCAATCACTACCGCTCTCCCTTCTTTCATTATCGACTTCTTTCATTCCTTCTTTCATTTTTTCATTCAGTCCTTCATTTTTGCTTCATTCGTTGTTTTATCTACTGTTATCTATTCTTTCTTCATTCAATATCAACTTCTTTCATTCCTTCTTTCGTTTTTTTCATTGATTCCTTCTTTCATTTTTTCTTCATTAGCTGTGTTTTTATCTACTGTTAACTACTCTTGCCATCCCTCCCTTATTTCTTCATTCATTATCTACATCTTTCATTTTTCATTCATTCCTTCCTTTCATTCGCTGTGTTTTATCTACTGTTATCTATTCCTTCTTCATTCATTATATACTTCTTTCATTTTTTCATTCATTCCTTCATTCATTCCTTCTTTCCTTTTGCTTCTTCATTCCTTCTTTCATTCACTGTGTTTTATCTACTGTTAACTGTTCTTTCTGCATTCATTACATACTTCTTTCATTTCTCATTCCTTCATTTTTCCATTCACTGTATTTTTTCATTGTTTACAAAGACGAATATTTCCATCAATTGTCTACGTCACCAACACCAATTGTCTACGTCAACACCAATTGTCTACGTCACCAACACCAATTGTCTACGTCACCAACACCAATTGTCTACATCACCAACACCAATTGTCTACATCACCAACACCAATTGTCTCACATCACCAACACCATTGTCTACGTCACCAACACCAATTGTCAACATCACCCACACAATTTGTCTACATCACCAACACCAATTGTCTACATCACCAACATCAATAAACACTTAAGTAAACATACATTTATCTGAGAAAGTGTAAACAACTGGGCATCAGTAAACAAAAAACAAAAACATACAGTTGTCTACGTCATTCCAGGTGTGTGTGTGTGTGTGTGTGTGTGTGTGTGTGTGTTCCCGAGGGCTCAAGTACTGGCTTCCACACACACACACACACACACACACACACACACACACGTATTAAAATATAAACACATGTAGTCAACAAAGATACATTACATACACCAACCACCTGTACACACAAACAAAATGCACATACTCAGGTAGGCGCACACACAGAGAATAGCAATACATACACACTCGGTACACACATGTGCGTAAATGCAAAAGAAATTATAAACAAACAAACATACAAGTGAATATGTACACACTAAATTAGCGTAGGTAAGCATAAAAACATACATGAATAAAAACGCACATAATGGTGTACACAGTCATCACTAACACACACACACACACAAGGGAGTATAAACGCACATGTATACAAATGGACATTAGTATTCATGTAAACAAAGAGAGACAGACACATGTACACTAATAACCAACCTTACACATACACGAGTGATTTAATTACGTACAGTATTACAACATGTTCTCTCTCTCCTCTCTCTCTCTCTCTCTCTCTCTCTCTCTCTCCCTCTCCCATTCTCCTCATCTTGTCCTTCATCCTTCTCTCTACCAATTCCTCTCTTCTTTTCTCTTCCTCTCTCCTTCCTTCTTTCCTCCATTACTTTAACTTTCAGAATTAAGAAGAAAAAAAAATCCCTTAAATTCCAAAGTTACGACCAAAAACTACCTTAAGTCATTTACAAATAAGACCAAAATCTACCTTAAGACAATCACTTTACTTACACTTTACAAGGGTTGGTGAGGCCCTTAAGTAGGTAGCTTGGTGGCCTAATATTGTGGTCAACACTTAACACTAAAACAAGTAGGTGTGTTTTTTGTGTGTTAAGTGATGTTACACGCTCAG